CACGGTTAGTAGAGGCCGATTTTCGGATCGGGTAAGAAGGGGTGCTCATAGCTGACCTTCCCCGATCGTACCCAAGCTCCCGAGCCAAGGCAACTTTGGTGATGACGGACACGTGGCGTTTGGCACTGAGTCAGGGTTTCCTAAAATCCCCAATTTTAAAATATTTAGGTGGCGACTTTGTATCTGGCAAAGCAGTCCATGTTTGGCACTTCTTTTCAAAAATCTGTTTCTCAAAATGATTTGCCGGATTTGGACTCTTTGGTTCAAACTAAGAACCGTGACACAAATCGAGTCCGAACTGTAGCAAGGCCCACGGGCGCGTCTATAGCAGGTGTGTGCCGGAAACCCCTCCGATGCCTAAGTCAGCAACTAGACAATAGACAATATGCTCTGTGTATTCAGAAAGCAAAGTTTTTGTGTTACCTCTCCGCAGGTGATATTTGTGAGCTTTATAGGTTTCGTGTGGCACAATCCTAGTAGGACTTTTACTTCTCCATGCAGAGTCCTCCTAGGATTTAACCTCCTGAAGGATAATCCTTATCCTCCAACACCCCCCTCACTGCTTAAACCAAGTGAAATGATTCTTCTATGGCCGGGCTACCACGACCGAAGTAAAATGACCATGCTATGCTAGCTAGCACATGGCCGAGATTCAACTAGCCTGGTCTTTTACTCCGCAGTTTGTACCTCGGTTTCCCTGCCTAGACCGAGCTAAATTAAGAGTAAGGCTTGCTTTCTCTTCATCATGCCTTGGTTCCAAATAGTGCGGCCGAGCTATCCACGCCTATGGTAACCGAGATACCTATGCAAGATTATGACCGAGTTAACTTTGTGCGATGACCGAGCTTACCTCGGGACCGGTGTAACTTCACGATTCCCCTAGGCCGGTCTAACTCTATGGCCTTTTTACTCAGCCCTTCGTATTACGGCCCGAAACGGCCCATTTACCCAGCTCGGCCCAATTTTCCATACAAAAATTACCCTCACAAATACCTTCCAATGCAAATACAGGAAAAAGCTATTTCATTAAGCATAAATAATGTCTTAATTCATATTCCCTTGTTAGAACAACATAAATACATTTGTGATAAAGAGTTTGCGCCTGTGCCGCGTGGTGATTTAACTCCCATCATCAAAATTATTGATGAATCACATTGGATTTACAAAATTTTAGAAGAAAATTTTAGTGAACATCCATTAAAACTATGGCAACGTAGTCCACGTTATTGTAGTTTAAAATTGAAAGACCCTAATCTTATCATTAGAGTAAGACCAATGATCTATACTAGACAAGATATAGATGAATTTGATATTCAACTCCAGGAATTTTTAGATAAAAAGTTAATTGAAGAAACTAAAAGCCTTCACTCTAGCCCAACTTTTATGGTAAGAAACCATACTGAAATTAAAAGAGAAAAAGTCCGAATGGTAGTCAACTACAAACGGCTAAATGAAAATTTAGAATTTGATGAATATTTTATTCCACGAAAAGATGTTTTGATTAACTTAACCAAAGGATCAAAAATCTTTAGCAAATTTGATTGTAAAAGTGGATTTTGGCAAATTTAATTGACTGAAGAGTCAAAAAAATTGACAGCCTTCAGTACACCTAGAGGACATTACCACTGGAATGTTATGCCCTTTGGATTAAATATAGCACCACAGGTATTTCAACGGTGGATGGATACAATTTTTAAAGATCTTAAAGATTGTTGTGTAGTTTATATTGATGATATACTTATCTTCTCTAAAACCAAGGAGGAGCATAAGAAACATTTAAAATTACTTTGTGAAAGATTCCAAAAACATGGAATTATTTTGTCTCCAAAAAAGATTGAATTAGAAAAAGAATCAATTGAATTTTTGAGAATAATTTTAGACCAAAAAGATTTAAAATTACAAGAACATATTTTGTCCAAAGTACGAGATTTTCCTGATACTCTTGAAAATATAACACAATTACAGAGTTTATTAGGCATTTTAAATTATGGACAAAATTTTATCAAAAATCTTTCAAAAATAGAAATTCCCTAGTTAACCAAATTAAGGAAAAATGTTATTTTTGAATGGACATCAGAAGATGTTGCTTTAATTAATCAAATAAAAGAAAATGTTAAAACTTTACCAGATGTTTATCTTCCTAAAACAGGTGATAAATTAATTTTAGAAACAGATGCCTCAGAAGCATGCTGGGGATGTGTTCTTAAAGCAATACCAAGTAATTTATGGTAGGATAAAAAGATACCTTTATTAGAAAATGGGATTAGACCAAGAAAAAATTCAATACCCATAAAATTACAAAAAGAATAGTTAATTTGTGGATATAATTCTGGAACATTTAAACCAAATGAACAGAAATATATTATCTTTGAAAAAGAATTAATTGCAATAAAATTGGCAATAAAGAGCTTTCATATTTATTTAGCCCCAAAAAATTTTATTGTACGCACTGATAATAAGGCAGTAAGAGATTTCTTGATCAATAAAAAACCTATTGAGCAAGGAAGACGATTAGCCTGGTATAATAAAATTTCTGAATATGCCTTTGAAGTAGAACATCTTAAAGGTACTAACAATTTTCTTGCAGATTTTCTTAGCAGAAATTGTTTCAGGAAATTAAATTATTAAACAATAAATTTAATTTTTGCAGAAGACCTCTAGATCAAGAGGAAACAATGGACAAGGGTAAACAACCCGCTCAAGGAGATTGGGTGACAATTGCTAAAAAAACAATCCCCAAAGAAGAAAAAGTTGTGTTTGCAGGAAGATAACTTGGAATTTACACAGACTGGAACGAAGCCAATCTGCGAGTTTGTGGATATTCAGGAGCGAGCTATAAAGCATATGATAGCATGACTAAAGCTAAAAAAGCTTTTTACAGTGCACCCACTATGCCAGTTTATCAAAAGAATTTTTGTCAAATGAGAACTAACCCAGTTCTAGCTAATATTCAGACATCTAGACTAGATGAATCTGAAATAAAAGATTTTTTCAACCCTGGTATATCCAGAGAAATTTATACATAACTCAATGGAGTTTGGAAAACTCACATTGTAGACAACAAAGTAAAATTTTGAAAACACATGGGAGTTCTGGCCAACAAATTAGCTGAGCAAACAACTAAATTAAAAGATTTGTAAAATCTTTGTTTCAATATTCTTAAATAAATGAATTAGAATGAAAATTTTAATTTTAAAAAAATAAACAATTTTTTTCAACTATCACACCTCATATCAGAAGATGCCTATGAGTCTTTAGAAAGGAATGATAATTGACATGCATGGACTTACATTTTTCAATTTTTAATTATTATTATCTTAGAATGATATGGCCCATTGTAATCCTCTTGCTTTCATTTGAAAAGATTCATGGGTTGATATCATCATTTTTTAAAGGGCAAATTACATTAACAGACCCTATAGTTTGGGACTCGTATCATTTTAATTCATTACTTTTTAATTGTGACATATTTGACTCTGAATTTTGAATCTTGTTCCAAATAAGGACAATTGAAGATACCATTGTTTAATTTCAACGGTAAAATCGTCAATTTAATAAAATATAAACTAATTTGACAAAAATAAATATCAAAAAAATATTTTTAATTTTTTTAAAATTATTTTTATCCACCAATGATAAAATTATGTAAAATTGATAAAAATTAATAAAAATTACTTGATTAATTTTTAAAAATTAATTTTACATGATCATCATCCAAACACATAATAAAAATTAATTTGGTAAAAAAATAAATAAATGTCTAAAAGATTTATCAATTTTACATAATTTTATTTTTAGTGGGTAGAAATAATTTTTTAAAAATTCAAAAATATTTGTTTGACATTTATTTTTATCAAATTAGTTTATATTTTATCAAATTGACGATTTTACCCTTGAAAGATCTAATGATATATTCGATTGCCCTTATTTGAAACAAGATTCAAAATTTAGGGTCAAATGTGTCACAATTGAAAAGTCAGGGACCAAAGTGAGACAAGTCCCAAACTATAGGGACTATTAGTATAATTCACTCTTTTTTAAAAGTCATTGTATTATTATTAGGAATGAGATTTATATAAAAGAAATTATTTTTGCACCGTATTCTATTAAAAGATCCTAGTCACATAAATATTGGGTGTTCATGTACGAAATAGTGATATTATCATATTGTTTGGCGCAACTTATGGAAGTGCTTATAACATATTTTAGAAATTATTTAGTCCTCTTGGGATAGTGTAATATCTAAAAGGAGGAGACAATGTCTGTTTCGCCCTATTCCATTTGAAGCCCTCTATCGATCGGTTTGAGATGGGTGTCATGTTAAACTCATCACTAATGTCACACCTTCAAATGTAAGTGTTTTACTGCGTGGCTAGAGTACATGTCGTTAAAAAGAATTATGATTCATTAACATAGTTTTTCTTAAGAAAAAGACCTATCCACAAACAATGATGGACAATGACATTTGTCAAGTGTGTTGAACTGACATTCAGAAATGCCTACCAAGTGTTCGTGTTTTTGGATTTTGTTGTTTCATCTTCTGGGGAATTCTGAAACTGAATCGGGGGTTTGTCATGGCATCACTGAGAATACCCATGTGTTTCTTGTACTCTTAACCAGTTTATGGGTAAAATAGTGCCAAAGCTTTAGCTTGCTTTCAATTTGAAGCTGTAGTATGGCTTATCATTTTGGACAAAACTGAACCATATGAGGCTAGATTTCCTGCTTATGACTGCATCATGACACTGGAGGTTGGTTACTGTTACAGATTGGTGTCTAATGGCTTCAAAACCAGATGCAGCATGATATTTGTTGAAGCATTCAGAAGCTGTAAGCATTTTTAAGTTGTTTAATTTTTATGTTCAAATCAATGATGCTGAGATGGGTTATGGTTGAATGTAACTCTAATGGCCTCTTAGAACTAAATTCATTCGACAGATCAAAAAATTATGGTTTATGATTTCTCAGTCCATTAAAGTGGAAAGTTGTTGCGATCATCATTTTTCTTCATGCTGAAACTGCCAAATTAATTGACATTAGATAAACAAGGTACTGATTTTATTGACAACTAGACTCAAAAGTCATCTACTTTACAAGAGAAAATTGCTCACATTTTGGCACAACACCATATCCAAATTCCATGTACTCAAAACAGGATTCTGATATTCAGTTAAGCGTCCTCCCCCACCACGAAGATTAGTCTGATGTTAAGAATCCTATCTCAAAGCTCTCTCTCTGTCTCTCTCATTTATGCCAGACCCACAAGTTTCTCACTAAGTTCCCATACTTTCCGAGCTTTCTCCACATCACTCGCTTCTTCAGACAATTTGTTCTCAAAGGATGCAGAGTCCTTGTTCCAGCTCCAGTAGACACCTGACTTTGTCAAACTCGGATCACTCACAACCTGAATCAGAAATCAACTTCTTCAGTTTATGCAGAACATACACTACAATACAGGCACTTAATTGTGCTAGTTTTAGTCTTTTTTACCTGTGCAAGTCGCTTTCCAGCTTCTTCTTCGGATACAAAGCCCTTGGTGATGTACTTCTGGAATGGAGGGAAAAGGAGCCTGAACAAGGGGATGTGTTCCCTGAACAAACCTGTCGTGGCAATGCAACCTGGGTAAAGGGAAGCAAAGGCGATACCAGTTTCCTCATGGTAACGTCGGTGGAACTCTTGCATAGTGAGCATGTTGCAAACCTTGCTGTCTTTATATGCCTTGGCACCATCAAATTCTCCACCATCTACCATGGCTGAGCTGTTTAGTCCATTCAACCCTCCGGCAAGCCCTCGCATGTCCCCTAGGTTGGCCTTTGGAGGCACATTCCCAGCCAAGGTGTTCGTGTTACCTAAGGCATGTTACAAAAGCAACACCACATTTAGAGGTTGTTTGGTATTGACCTTTTCTTTAGTCGCTTTTTGGCTTTTTTTAGAAGCTAAAAATGCTAATGCATATGAAAAATTGCTAAAAAAAAGTTGCTTTTTTGGCTTTTCAGCTGATGACAAACAGGTTTCTGATTTTTTGGCTTTTGACTTTTTTAGCCAAATTTTTATTTTTATTTTTAGCTGCATTCCAAACAAGCTAAGAGTATTCACAGGTTCCTTAACAGGTCTTTGAGCAGAATAATGATAAGTATCATGTGTAAAAATAAAAGAATGAATTTGTGCCAACATAAGACTCTGACATCTGTTATGTACCTGTAATTGAGCCGACAATGATGAGGCGCTTCGATGGATAGTCAGACTGCTTCAAGTCATCGAGCATCAACCGCGAAAGGAGGAAGTGTCCAAGATGGTTAGTCCCAACACTAAGTTCAAACCCTTCAGCAGTAAAAGTTGGCTCCTTAGCAGTTGGCAAGTAGACAGCAGCATTGCAAACCAGGACATCAAGTGGCCGACCTGATCGCTTGAAGTTGTCAACAAATTGCCTAACACTGTCAAGTGAGGCAAGGTCTAAATGCATGACTGTGTAGTTCTCTTTGGCAATGCCGGCCGCTTTGGCTGCTCTTTTGGCCTTTAGGAAGTCCCTGCAGCCCATGATTACATGCCATTTGCCTGTTTCAGCTAGAGCCTTGGCTGTGGCTAAACCCAATCCGGAGGAGGCTCCTGTGATCACAAGACTGCCCTTTCTTAGGGTTTTCTTCCCTTCAGGTGCAGCCTGGTTGACTGCCGGAGTCGTGGTAGCTGCTGTTTGTGCTCTTATAGCCCCATGAGCTAGCTGCCATTGGTTTGATTCCTTCTGTGGATCAAACCCCATTTTAAATTGTTCATCAAAACCATGAATTTTCGAAGGGTCATCCTAATGACGGCCCAAAGTAATTTTTACAAGTATCAAAGCATATTCACATATCTTTACACTTTTCACACATTACATTTTACTGGGTAGTCATTAGCATTTTCCAATTTCAAATCCTGATAAGAAGTTGGACTTCAACACAGTAAATTTCTGTATATTCACACATTGCTTGCTTAATTTCAAAAACCATACGTTTCTGTACCAGCTTTTCCCCCCCTCTATTAGGGTTTTTTAAATACAAAAGCAATTGATAACCATTTGTTATCACATTCTTTAACAGAACAATTTTCAAACACTTGAATCTCAATGGATAAGAAACAAACTCCATAAGCCATATAAAATAAAATAAAAATTAATTGGCTAAATTATTCTAACCTTCCTTAATTTTGTTTGTTCAATTATGTCAAATCTATAGAATTTGTTGTATTTTTATCAAAACTCGGGGAAAAAATAGTGCAATTTATAGTTGGTACCTTGAATCTTAATGCAGAATTGCTGGATTCAGCTTTGACATGATCAGAGAGTGAAATTCCAAAAAGAGAAGAGTCCTTCAAAGAAACACTAGGCTTTCCCTGAAACCAGCAATACATTTCGCACAATGTTAATTCAAAGAATTCACCATTGATTGTCAGTAACAAGAACAAGAACAAGAACAAAAACAAAAACAAAAAAAGCAATGTGAACAGAAAAAAAGGGCAATGAACCTCTCTGGGAATGGAGAAAGCAGAGGGAAGCAGAGCAGCAGCCTGGAGAGCCATGAGCACCTTCAAATTGAACTGGGTTTCTTCCAAATCCTCTCCAGAGGACTCTGTTTGGATGAGTAGAAAGATGGAGCAGAGTAGTGACTGAGGGAAAATTTCAGACAACTGTGGAGATATATATATATATGAGAAAGTGATGCTGTTTGGTGACCAAAAAAATGGGCCCTGTCATTTGGATACGAAAGGCAATGGAGGATAAGATAATTCTAGTAGATGAATTCTGCCACATCAATTCCAAGCAACCAATCAGAATTTGAGATTTGGATTTCTTATGATATTTTTAGATATTTTCTTAAGGGCAAATTACATATACACCCCTCCAGGTTTGATTAAATTACAGATACCTCCCTGAGGTTTCGGAAATTACATCCCGCCCCCTGAGGTTTGTATTTTCATAACAATTTACCCCCTGAGGTTTATATTTCATAACAAATTACCCCCTAATTTCTTATGCAAATATAGCATTCAGGGGGGAATTCGTAATTTCTCAAACCTCAGGGGGGTATCTGTAATTTTGTCAAACCTGGAGGGGTGTATATGTAATTTGCCCTTTTCTTAATAGTTACCACTATTTTGAAATTGGGCTGTAATTCTTCAGTTATGCTAATAAATCTTCAAGCTGTTGTATAGCTAGCTGTAAGGCTTCTTGTTTTATAGTTATCTATCTATTTATTTGAGTTAATTTCAAACTATAATTTTCTAGAGATCTACCGGAGGCTAATGATAATAGAAATTGATATCTTAATTTTTGATTTTCTAATTCTCGTATAAGCTCAGTACTGGTTCTGACTTTAATTCTAAGTTCTTCTTCTAAAGGCATAAAATTTTGATTTTTAATATTTTTTTATGGACAATATTTCCTTAATATTTCTACACGGGTTGCTCTCCTTATATTCTAAAATTCTTTTTCTTTGGCAAAACTATTTTTAGGCAATGTTTGTTTTCATTATATGTACTCCCACCTTGAAGCTAAGTTTCGTTCAACATAGTATATTTTTATTTTCTATTTTTTACTTTTCCTCTTCTGCCTACAATTTGCCCTCAAACGCCTAATCACGGCTCACACGGGCTCTTCAGCTAAGGTCACTCAGTAATAAAATAGAAAACAACAGATACTACGAAGGTGCAAAGCATGTAATATTAATGAGCAAACAAGTATTCCATAAACCTAGTTTTTCCAAAAAGAAAATAAATTTTTAGAATAGAAGAATTACCCTTTTGAAATATTTAAGGAAAAAGGGAGACTACTCACACTTCATATTAATAAGTAGTATACTTACAAAAATTATGTTACAGACTCTGACTTTCTGAAAGACTTGGAACACTTAGAATTTTTTAGAGGGGTTGGAAGTTTTTACAAAGTGGAGTGAAGGGAAATTTTTCATTCTGCTTCTTTCGTTGGCATGAATGCCAATTTATATACATGGTTGATAGATACACACAAGCCAAAAAATCTATACGTCAAAAGCTTGGACTCAAAAGTCTTAAAGACTACCTAAGTCTAGGCCATAGATGTTACAAATTTTTCTATGCCACAAATGCATAGATTTTGACTCAAATTACTATTCTAGATATGGATAGAATTTTATCAATAAAAGATTAGAATAATGACATTGGGTACTGCTTTGGGCCCCATCGCATATCATTCAATCCTCATTTTTTTATAAAATTTTGACACTAATAATTTATTACAAGACACGTGTAAGGATTTTCACAGCTTTTCTTTAATGGAGCAGGGTGGGGGTTATCTGCTCTATTAAAGTAGTGAGTGAAGGAAAAGCCTTATCACTGAAAGACGCAAATAATTACAGACACAAATATTTACAGAATCTTTTTTCGTTTCCTGGCGTACATTTCTCTGATAATTGAAGAGAGGCCTTATCTTCTACGGATTTTGTCTTCTTCTACTGAAGTACCAATTATTGATATAAACCTGTGGAGTGAATCTTCAAGGTGGATTTACTAAGGGTTAAGGAAAATTTCTGAGTCTAGAAAACAAGGGCTTGTTAGGATACTTTCAAATATTACAATAGTCTATTTATGGTGTGCACGGTTTTTTTTTTTTTACCCATACATTCTGTCTAAGAGATCGTCCAGGTCTGCCGCTGAAAGTTGGTCGTAAAAAATCATCCCCCATGGCTGGTTCATCTTCCCATTGATTATCTTGGTCATATTCTCCCATTAGTGGTGACTCATGAGAGACGCTATGCTGATAATTAGGATACTGACTTTCATCAACGAATGTTTCTTTCCTGAAGGGATATCTTGGGATAGCTAGGTTACAGTATATCTTCTGATTTCTATCTTCGCAAACTAGATGTCCATAATTTCCATTATATGCTAATAGAGGATTATTAGAGAATTTCCTCCATTTATTGAGCTGATCTCTGAGTGAAAATTTTCTGCATGGCCAGGGTCTCCGATTGAAAAGTCCTAGGTATCCCGGAAATGTTGAGATTCCTCTGAGGTACATTTTATACTTGGCTGGGATGCACCTTATTTCTTTCCACTCTGGTAGCTTGTTATCAATTAATGCTTCTACATATGGATGATGCTCTTCCATTACACAAAGTACTGAACGAGCAAGTTTAGTTCCAAAGCTATCTGTCTGATCTGGATCTGAAAAAATTATTCTAGAGACAAAGCCGTAATCTAACAATTGTGAGGCCGTTAGATAACGCGTTTTGCCCCTAATCTTTATCTTCAATGGTTCGAACGTTGCTAGATTTATCTGGCAAAAGTAGATGCTGAAATCTAAATTACACTGGCATCAACCAAAATGTTCTGACCTGTCCATACATCTTTCCTCTTCTAAGCAGGGCTGCTCTTCATCTTCATAGAGATAAGTCCATTGATAAGCTATACTACGGCATTGAACTCCTGCTATGGAGAGGTCTTGAAGAAATTGCTGTATAGTGACTAACTCGTTATTTCTACTATCTTCGGCTAAGGTGTATATGTAAGGTTTAAGGTCTTCTATTTCTTGGCTTTTCTCACAAAAAGATCAAATGATAGAATGCCTGAAGAAATACATTCTAGCACTCAATTGTTCAAATTCCTCACTGGTGAGTTGTCTGATTTCTAGGTTAGGAAAGGGAGCAGTTGCTTTTCCTGGAGCTAATTTTTTAAGCTGGTTGCTTAGGGTTCGAATAGTTGCTCGCAATTGTTCTTCTTCATCTCGGAGCTGGTCTAGATTTTCACTGACCTTTTTTCCTTTATCCATAATTTTCTTGAAATTTCTGGTAAGGCCTTTACAATGTCTGCACATTTGGAGAGGATTTTGAGAATCTATCTGAAGACTATTACTACTACTTCCCGTACTACTGCTTCCAATTATCTGGCTAACTGGAACTCCACTAGTAGCAAGAATGGTTGACTACACCTTGCCCAATGTGTCCAGGTAATCTTTAGCTATCTGGTTGATAAGGTAGCTGGTTCCTATTTGTCTTCGGGCATAGGTACTGGCTTACTCGAAATCATAAAATCCTTTATACTGAGGTGTAGGAAAATTTTTAACTAAGGGTTCAACTTCTATCCAGTCATGGTAAATACCAGGCTTGGTTCCTTTAGCTACTACATAGAAAGAAAAACTTTCAGACAAAGGTTTATTTTGGATTTTTGAAAAATATATACTAAAAGATTTTAGGGCTGACAGACGTTTAGCTGGGTGGTTATGACTGTTCCAAAGGTTATCTAGTAGACATTGTTGAATTGGGTCTAGCTCAATTCCTGTTAATGGTCTGAATTTGTTTCTGGTTTCATGAATGGGAAGGGCAAATCCCCCAAAGTTCATGGTTTTATTGTTCTCCATTATCTGCACAAAAATTAAACTGGTTATTTTCTTTCTCTAAATAAATCTTCCTACTTAACCAACCTATTAATTTGTTATCACTCCTTTTAATATGTTCAAATTCTACTTTATATCTTTGTCCTACTATACAATCTAAAAATTTTGCCCATCTTCTGGTATTTAATTTGCGCTAATTAAGTTTATTATGAAATCTAACTATAGCTCCACAGTCTATTCTGATTGTAAAGGGCTTGTGTAAGAATAATCTAAATTTATTTATTGCATATACTATTCCTAATATCTCAAAATCTAGGTTAGTCATGGTAGTATCATTTTCTTTAAATTTTCCAGAACTATATCTACAAATGCGCTCTTTATTTTTACTATCATACTTACTAGGTTTAGCTAATAAGACTGTTCCCCATCCTAACTGACTTGCATCTGTCTCTACGACTATATATTTTGATTCTAAGGGAAGTTGTAGGTCGGGTAGATTTCTACAAATGTCTTTTATTTTTCTAACTAAAGCTATATCTTGTTGATTGAAATATTTTTGTCATGTAGGTGTTGTCGTACTATATAGAGGTCCTATTATTTTACTAAGGTTAGGAATGTACATTCGTGCATAATTTAAAATTTCTAGAAATGATTGAAGTTGTTTTGTATCTTCTAATTTATCTGGATAGTCTAAAATTTTCTTGACTATGTGAGGTTGTAACCTGATTTTTCCATCTCCTAACTCCATTCCTAAAAATTTTATATGGGATTTATTTAATACCGTTTTTCTCTTACTAATTATTATTCCACTATTTATGAATTCTTCTAATACTATATATAAATGATTTATGTGACTATTTTTACCTGGGCTAAATACTAATATGTCATCTATGTATATCAGTATAAAACTATATTTATTAAATATACTATCCATCTTACGCTGAAATATGGAAGGTGCATTTTTTAGTCCAAAAGGCATAATTAGCCATTCGTAATGTCCTTGTGAGCAACAAAAGGTTGTCCAAGGTATGCTTTCCTTCTCCATTTTTATCTGCCAAAATCCCGACTTGCAATCAAATTTACTAAATATTTTTGTTGTTTGTATTCTGTTTATGAGTTGATATTTATCTAGTATGTTATATTTATCGTCTTCTGTATTATCATTTAATCTTTTATAATTTATAACTATTTTGGCATTTCCTCTTTTTGATTTCTA